CTGCCAGCGCTTGCTGGTCGACGCTAAATCGACGCTAACCGACGCTAAATCGACGCCAAATCGACGCCAGATCGACGCTCAATCGGCGCTATCTCATCGACGCCCAGACGCGAATCGACGCGAATCCACGCTAAAGACGGAATGAACAGGGTGCGCCAAGCTCCCATGATTTGCTACCGAACGAAAGGTCGTCCCGAGGGAAACTGGTCTCGTGCCCCCCGGGGCCCAGCTCCTCGCCTTCGGCCATGTGTTGACGGGCCCGGGGCCCGTTGAGAGCCTCAGTGGCCCGAAAACTGCAAAAGCAAAGAAATTAAGGGACAACAAAACGCTTCTTCAGGACCAATTTGCTCCATGGCGAATCCTTAACGGCCACGCCCTTCATCACCACGGCGGGGTGGCCGGCGAACGTCGTGTCCGGCTGCTTCGCGCGGTCGCCCCAGATCGTGACGGCGATGCTGGTCGCGGTGTCGTCGGTGAGGATGACCTCGCGCTTGACGAGCTCCTTGCCGTCCTTACAGATGGATCGGATGTCATCGATTATAGATGGTGGTGCAAACACCTCAAAACATAAAAGACGTATACGTACAGGTATCTACAGACCCACGCATGTGTATGCATGTATGTATGTATGTACGGATGCATGCATGCATGCGTCGATGTATGTATGCATGTATGTATGTGTGTGTGCGTATGTGTGTATGTGTGTATGTGTATGTGTATATGTGTGTGTATGTGTATGTGTATGTGTGTATGTGAATGTGTGCATGTGTACGCGAATGTGTATGTGTATGTGTGCATGTGTATGTGGATGAGCATGTGCATGTACATGCGTGTGAAAGTGTATGTGTAGTTGTATGTGCATGTGTGCAAGTGTATGTGAATGTGCATATGTATGTACATGGGTATATGTATGTGTATGTGTGTATGTGTATGGATATGTGTTTCATGCACGCATGTATGTGTGTCAATCTATGTGTGTATGAAGGTAGGCACGTATGTATGACTACATGCATGCATGCACACATGTATGTGTGTACGTGTAGATGTGTGTGTTAGAGTATGTGTATGTGTGTATGTGTATGTGTATGAAAATGTGTATATGTGTATGTGTGGTGTATGGGTGTATGTGTGCATGTGTATATGTATGTGCATGTGTGTACGTGTCTGTGTCTGCGTATGTGTCTGTGTACGTGCATGTGTATGTGTATGTGTATGTGTATGTGTATGTGTGTATCCGTGTGTGCATGTGTATGCGTATATGTATGGGTACGTGAATGTGTATGTGTATGTGGATGGGTATGTGTCTGTTCATGTGCATGTGACTGTGTACGTGTACGTAGAGGTGTATGTGTATGTGTATGTATAAATGTCCTTGTATGTGCATGTGTATGTGTTTGTGTATGTGTGTATGTGTGTATGTGTATGTGTTTGTGAGTATGCGATTGTGTACGTGTATGTTCATGTGTATAGTTGTATGTGTATGTGCATGTGTGTAGTTGCATGTGTCCGTGTGTATGTGTATGCTTATGTGTATGCCTTTGTATGTGTGTGCATATATGTGCATGTGTGTATGTGTGTGCATGTGCATGTGCATGTGCATGTGAATGTGTATGTGCATGTAGTTGCATGTGTATGTGTATGTACATGTGTATACGTATGAGCATGTGTATGTGTATATGTGTATGTGTATGTGTACGTTTGTGTATCTGCATGTGCATGTATGTATGTTGTGTAAATGGATGAATGTAGAGATGAATGCCTGTATGCAGGCATGCATGCATGCTTGTATGTATGTATGTGTGCATGTGTGCGTGTGTGTATGTGTGCATGTGTATGTATATCTGCATGTGTATGTGCATATGTATGTGCATGTGTGTGCATGTGTATGTGTAGGCGTGTGTGTGTGTGCATGTGCAGGTGCAGGTGCATATGTATGTGTATGGGTCGGAGGTTGGGAGGTGAGATCGAAGTGGAACGGAGAGCCCCCCACCGAGAAATCGGTTTCGGCTTCGTGTTCGTGCGTGCCGTGCGTGGGGGCGAGGCGAAGCTGCGTGGGCGGGCGAGAGGAAAGTCTCCTGTGGCTGAGGCGCGGCCGGACCAAATGATTCTCCCTCCGACAAGCGGTGGCGCGCGGTGTCATGCAGGTGTCCCGCCGGTGTCCCGCTTGTGGCTGGGCCCCGGCCGCACCAAATGATTCTCCCTCCTGCAAGCGTTGGCGCGCGGTGTCCCGCCGGTGTCCCGCCAGTGTTCCGCCAGTCCCCTGTCCCGCTGGTGCGAAAACGATAGTGAGACCGATGACGAAATCGATTGTGAGATCGATAGTGCGATCGATAGTGAGACCGATAGTGAGATCGATCGTGAGATCGATAGTGAGATCGATAGTGAGATGAATAATGATATCGATTGTGAGATGGAGTGATAAAGAGGCCTCCAAGACCCGCCAAAAGGTCCAAAAGACACGCCCAAACGGCCCCCCAAGCCCTTGCAAAATGAACTAAATAAATGATTATTTCGTTGGTTCCGGGGGGGGAGAATGATACCAAGGCGCCAGAGAGCGAAGAATGACGTAAACAACTCGACACCAAGGCTCCCAAGAGCGAGCGGCAACGCAACAATCACCACTATTGCCCGTTGCTGGCCCCCCTCTCCCCCCAACCTCCTTATCACCCACAGGGTGGTCGTATAGGTATGTGTATGTGTATTTGCATGTGCATGAGCATGAGCATGTGTATGTGTGTATGTGCATTTGTATGTGTATGTGTATGTCTATGTGTCTGTGTATTTGTATGTGTATGTGCCTGTGTATGTGTGTATGTAGATATGTATGTTTGTGTGTATCGGAACTGAGGGGGTGAGATCGCATTGAAACGGAGAGCCCCCCACCGAGAAATTGGTTGTTGGTTTCGTGTTCGTGTCGTGGGTGCGGGCGAGGCGAAGCTGCGTGGGACCGCGAGAAGAATGATGCCGGCCGCCATGGCTAGGGGCTGTGGAGCCGGTTGTCCGCCCCCCCCACCCTGGCGCGCGGTGGCCGGGGGTGTCCCGTCGGTGGCGCGGCGGTGCCTCGTCGGTGTCCCGTCGGTGGCGCGCCGGTGTCCTGTTGGTGGCGCGGGGTGTCCCGTAGGTGGCGCAGGGTGTCCCGTCGGTGGCGCGGCGGTGCGACCGATAGTGAGATCGATTGTGGGATCGCTTGTGAGATCTTCTGTGAGATCGATATCTATACTGGAATCGACAGTGAGATCGATATCGAGATCGACCGTGAGATCGATTGTGAGATCGATTGGGGGACCGATCGTGAGGTCGATGATGGAATCGGTTGTGAGATCGATAGTGAGGCCGATAGTGAGAACTGTTGTGAGATTGATAGTGAGCTCAACTGTGAGGCCGATGGTGAGATCAGTTGGGAGATCGATAGTCAGATATGTTACGAGATCGATCGTGATATCGCTTGTGAGATCGATCATAAGTTCGATCGTGAGATCGATGGTCAGATCGATAGTGAAATCGACTGTGAGATCGATTGTGGATCGATAGTGAGATCGACAGTGCGATCTGTTGTGAGATCGATGGTGAGATCGTTCGCGAGATCTATAGTTGGATCGACAGTACGCTCAGTCCTGAGATCGATTGTGAGATCGATTGTGAGATCAATTGTGAGACTTATAGTGAGATCGATTGTGAGATCGATTGTAACATCGTTAGTGAGACGAATAGTGAGATCTGTTGTGAGATCGGGTGAGATCGCTCGCTTTATCTGTAGTTGAATCGACAGTGAGATCGATACCGAGATCGATCGTGCGAACGATGATCAGATCGATTGGGAGACCGATAGTGTGATCGATGGTGGAATCGATTGTTAGATCGATAGTGAGACCGATAGTGAAAACTTTTGCGAGATCGACAGTGAGTTCGATTGTGAGACCGATGGTGAGATCAATTGAGAGATCGAAGTCAGATATGTTGCGAGATCGATCGTGACATCGCTTGATCGTGAGGTCGATGGTGAGATCGAGTGTGAGATCGATGATGGAAGCGATGATGAGATCGAATAGAGGATCGATAGTGAGATCAATTGTGATATCGATAGTGAGGTATGTTGTGAGATCGATGACGAGATCGCTCGTAAGATCTATAGTGGAATCAGCAGTAAGCTCGGTACTGAGAGCAATCGTGAGATCCATTGTGATATCGATTGGGAGATCGATAGTGAGATCGATTGTGAGACCGATTGTGACGATAGTGAGACCGGTAGTAGGAACCGTTGTGAGATCGATCGTAAATCCACGAGACTGATAGTGAGTTCGAACGTGAGATCGATAGTGAGTTCGATTGCCAGATCGATGGCACGATCGATTGGGAGATCGGTAGTGAGATCGCTTGTGAGATCAATAGCCACTTCGATTATCCGCCGACCCCTTGTGGGTCTCTAGGCTTGTGAGATTACCCCCCCCCATAATCCCCCCCAGGGACCCCAAACCGGCAATTCGACCCCCACCCCCCCCTCGCCTTGCGCGACCCTGGACCGAACGCGCCACGGGGGAGCGGAGGGCTCCCAAACTGGCCAAGAAGGCACCAAAACGCTCCCCAAACGATCCCAGGGGGCCACGATTCGCCGAAATATTGCCCTGGACGCCCACGATGGCCTCCAGGCGGCCTCCAAAGCTGCCAAGACGCCCCAAAAGGCCCCCAAGATGCGCCCCAA